TTCTCCGTGTGTTTCTCGTATTTCGTGACCGTTCCGTTTTCGGTTTTCTATATAAGTGATGGAAACTATTCTGGTATAGACATTAAGAACGAGAAGAATAGAAGAGGGATCGTCGATTGCGACATCAGTACTTTCTCTTCTCGTCCTCTTTAATGTCTTCGTGACTCTGGAATCGGTCGGAGAAGAGCGTGACGACTTTACCTGGACTTCTTTCGTACTCTCAGCATGAAGAGGCAGAGTCATCCAGGTAAGTAAATAAAAAAAGAAAACAGAAGAGGCAAACGGGAAAAAATAAATAAATAAAAATTGGTAAACAAGTAACGACAAAAATTAAAAATAAGCAAAAAATTAAATTAAATTTAGAAATAAACAAATATAATTTAGAAGAAATATTATTAGATAAAAGACGAAAAAGACAATCTTAATACGTAATTACAATAAAGAAAAAAATAAAAAAAAAGTGGAGTAATTTTTGATGTTAAAGTAATTTTGTCATTTATTGGATTTTGTAGATAAAGAAAAAAGGAATTTTCATATTGAAACCATAACCTGTCACTTTTATCGATCGGAAATTATTCGATCGGATTCTTCACGGTAATTCCAAGACCTTGGAAGTTTTCAAAGACTCCTTTAACGCTCCTCTTGCAATCTGTTGAATTTTATTAAAAAGTGACGAATACAACAATTTCCTACTCCTTTCGAACATCGAAAATGAATGGCAAAAAAAAAAAAAAAAACCAGCCACCGCCTAATTAAAGCCGTGTATTTTACTTTATCCGTGTCAAATTTTGTTTGAGTTTGATTAAATTCTTTTGTTTTCGATTAATTATTTTCGGATAGAGGAACGAAATCATTTTATTCGATCATTATACGACTCATCAATTTAAGAATTTATTTATTCTATAAAACATAGCATCCCCCATAGCTAAACAAAATTGATGCCGGGGAGGTTGTTATCCCGTCTCCGTGCGACGTAAATTTACAATAAAATTAATAAAAATTTAAAGATCTTCAAATAGAAAAAAAAAAAGGTATTTTTGTATGCCTACACTTCGTTTTAACGCACCTCGCTATAGCGAAATTGTTGGCCAGGCTCCGAGAAAATGACTCTTAGACACGAACTTACGTGTTTAAAGATAGAAAAATTAATGCGATAAACGTCGACTTTCTCTTCTCGGATGTTGAAAAATGAGTTAATTTATTTAAAATTAAAATTTTTTTAAAAAAAATGAATTTAGTTCTTTTATTTATTTAAACTGTCTGAAAACTTTATTTTTATCGCCCGCCTATATCTTGCACGAATTCTTTATTATGCAAGATTTTAAATTTATTTATTATTCACCCTTTCATTACGGACAACAAATCTTTAAGTTAATGGCAAAGTTACGTGATAATAAATAAAAATTTAAATTTAGTTAAAACTTTTATATTATTTTAATAACGACTTCCCTTCGTAATAAAATTTTTTTTTTGTCATGAAAATTCTCGGATATATTTATTTATTTAATAAATAAAAATCTATTTTGCAACCGAATTTTATTATGATTAATAAATAGGAAAATAACGTCTACAATAATTTATTTTTATCGTTTTAACAACGTTTTCTGCCCAATAAAAAAAAACGTTTTATTTACAAGAAAAATTAAATATAAATTTTGTAATTATTTTATAAATTGTTTTCTTTATTTTAATTGTAAATTTTTTATTTGAAAAATTATTATTATTATTTTTTTTTTCCTTAAAAAAATATTATTTGAAAAAATTTTAAAACTGCACACATTTTTTACGTCATTTTGACGTCACGTCTCCATCTTTGTAATGAAAAAGTATGTAAGAGTGACGTCAAATTGACGTAAAATATGAGTATGCTTTCCTAATTTTTCTTAATATTTTGAGATATTTTCGAAAGAAAATTTATAAAATTAATACTTTTCGTAAACTTTTATAACATAAATGTTAAATGAATTAAAATAATTAAATAGTAATTTTAAAAATTATTTTATAAATAATTTTCTTATTTTAATTGCATTTCTAAATATATATATATAGGCCCTATATATATATGCTAATTTTAAGTATTTTTCAAAATTTTTTTAATTATAAAAAAATTAAGAAAGTATATACTTTTACGTCAGTTTGACGTCACGCCACATATTTTTTCATTATAAAAATGTAAGAGTGACATCAAACTGACGTAAAAGTGTACACTTTCTAAATCGAATCTTATGTAAATATTTAAGAGTAATTAATTATACAGTAATTAGATATAAAACTGTATAATTATATATAATCACCTTATATTTGAATTGAATAATTAAATATTTATATTATTTAATAATTAAAAAAAACAATAATAATAAATTCTGATAGAATCGTGTTCATTTTATATTTATCTGTTAACATTAATTATTGATGTTTACACAGTTAAGAATATCAGTAATATATTAAGAGAAATTAATAAAGAAAATTCGAAAACTTAATACTTAAGAAATTGCCCATAATGAATGAACTATTTAATTTTAAATTGTTATTATTATTTTACAGAGTTGAAAACGTTGCTTCTGGCACCGTTTTCAATCAAAATTTTTATGTTTTCTTATAAAAAAAATAACGTTCGGTGAATGTGGATCATAAAAAAAAGAAGAGGAACCATCAATGTGGTTCCTTACTTCAGGCTAAATCCACAAAGATCTCGCACTTTACTCGAAACTCGATAACTTTTTAAGTGAAAAATAACTACATTTTTGCACTTTATCCAAGCTAAATAATTGCTTAAAATAAAGTAATTAAAATGAAATATACAAATTTAAAATTATTTGTACATTTCGTTTTGAAATTGGGATTTTTTCAAAATGGCGGCAATTCAAGATGGAAAAAATTAATTAATTTAAAAAATAAATCCTTTATTAATTTATAAATACAATCAAACCTTTGAAAACAACGGCTACTAATGGAAACTTTAAAAAAATGGCCGTCTTTTGAAGGTTATTCAATATGCATTTTTGTTATAAAGAAAAAAAAAGGGGGTCGATGTTCAATTGTAATTTAACTGTAAGTTAACTTTTATTCCGTTTTTTAAATATTAATGAAATGTAACCGGCTTAAACACATTTATTCTCTACTAATTATTATAAATTAATAAATACATTTGATAGGTTCAACTGTATTTATTATTAATAAGCCTGTTATAATTTAAAGTTATTTTATATTGTTTAAATAGATATAATTTAATTAATTTTATTAAAAATATGAATTTTGTAATCTTATTAAAATTCTTTTACAAAGAAAATAATTTATGAAATTTATTTAAAAAAAAAATCAATAAAAGTTGAAGAAGAAGAATATTTTCTCAGTTGTAAATTCTAAAATATCAAATTCCTGATAATAATTATAGTTATTTATGTTTAAACGAATTGCTAAATCTTTCCAATTAAGCTATAAACAATAATTTGATATCCTCATTATTATAATATCCATAATAAAATTTTTATAATCATAATTAACGAAATAATTACTTTTATTTTCGTATCAAATTGCATCGTATATTCAAATATACCAAATTAGGACCTTCGTAAAAATAATTATATTGTAAATAATATTTAAAAATTAATTAATTTTTTTTATTATTATTTTTAATTCGTGTAAAACGTGTATTAAAATTACTAAAAATAAGCTTTTACATTTAAAAAAAATTCTTAATTTTATAATGAATAGAATAATTTATAGAACAATGTATTGTTACTGTTCTCAATTAAAATTTAAATAAATAATTTTATTATTTACGTTCTTTCTTGGTGTAAATTTTTATAAAGATTTATATGTATTTTAACGTTATAATAGAGATTATACCGGTATAAAAGTAATTATAATATTTATGAAAGTTTCGTAGTTTGTAACGTAAACAATAATTTTATGACGTCATAGAATTTAAACAATACGATCGTAAACAATTTCCCGGGCATTTTAAGGGATAATCGGCATCGGGGCATTGTAAACTAAAGCGATATGAATTTTAATATACGAGCCATACTGGAAGCATTAAGCTGCCGTATTTATTATATAGAGCAATAAAAAAAATTTTTATATATTTATGAGAAGAATCATAATTATTTATGTTTAAAAAAATATATTAGGGTATTAAGAAAAGATTTTTCTTATATTTAAGTAAAACCTCGAATCAATTTCGTAAAATGAATCCCATTTAAGAAAAACTTTTAGCGGGATCAGAAAAATGTTTATTTCTAGAAGGCATTAGGTTTTATATCCTTGTTTATAACCACTCTCCACCCGTTTATAAAACTATATGGCACATTGGTGATGTCAGTAAATCGATACCCCCGACATTATCTCGGTTTTTGTAAAAATTGTCACGTATTCTGAGCCGTTTTAATTGTTAATTCTATTTGACGAAACGATTCGGGACGAAAAAATTCGTTTGTTTCTTGTATTTTTTTATTGTTCGCTTTAATTTTTTTTTCGTTTCTTAAATGTTAATGTATTTTTTTAAATTAAAAAATAATTTTCTAATCTTCTTAAGAGTTTTCGATGTATTTTTTTGTACAATAAATAAATAAATAAATGTTTTATTTACGCTACATTTATATAAAAATTCTTTTTAAAAAAACCGAACGTGTCTATTTCTTAATCCTAAAAGTTGATGAAAAGAGGTATTAAATGGATTTAAAGAAAGTCTTAATCTTTCTATGAATTGGTTTTTCTACAATTTACTTTTAGACGAAAGATTATTATTTACTTTACTTTTCTACTATTTAATTTTTAGTTTTAAATAAAAAAAAACGTTTTCTATTTAGAAAGCGCAACGAAACTGTTTTGATGTAAAAAAGCAGAAATAAAAAAAATTGTTTTCGGAAAAAAATGCATTATTAAATTTTTTACAGAGTCTTCTTTCGTGTCCTCATTTTCTGCGAAAAAAATAAAATACAAATATATTTATACCAATTTTATTTTGAAATAAATTTATTAAAATGGATGCGGATAGAGGTCATATTTAAATATCATTTTTCTTTATTCACCTAACAGTTATATATATATATATATATGTGTGTGTGTGTGTATATATATATATATTATGTATATTTATATAGCTATGGTGATGTAATTCAAGCAAATCTGTTATTGTGTTAGAGACGTTGCGAAAGTAAAAAACAATCGTCTAAATATTTTAAGATGTCATACAAGATAGAATTTGAAAAGAATCCGAATGTTTTCATAAATATTAATGAAGGCTTCCTTTTTTTTTCCTGGTTTCCATTCGAAAAGAAACTAACATCCAAAAAAAAAAAAAATACCAATCGTCTAATTAATGTGTAAATTTATGTACAGATTATTTTTTCTTTTCTTCTCTTGCAATTTCTAAGCGATCTGTGCTGAAACTTATTCCTATCAAACGTAGTTTGAATAAAAATTTAACCAACTTCAATCGGTCCATCGTCTCTTTTTTCCTCCCCTCCTCTCGTCTAACATTTTTGATGTTTAATTTAATAAAATTGGACTTTTATAGAAATATTTTTTGTATATTTATATAATTAAAGAATCGTCAAATACGATTATTCTTCGGGTTCGGATAGTAAACCGATACGACGACCGAATTTTTTGCATTTTGCAATGACCTCTTCTTGAACTAAGTTAAACGACATGGCTATGATACCGAGCCCCACTATTAAGTAGAAGCAACAAAAAAGAAGTTTTATCTGACTGTTACTGGTCATAGAAGCGGTACCCGGTACGAGATCGCCGAAACCGATGGTACTTAGTGTGACGAAACAAAAATAGACACCGTTGAGGAAATTCCAGTTTTCCAAGAGGGAAAAAACGGTAGCACCCAAAGCGATGTAACTCAATAAAATGGCCACGACTACGTATATAGGTACTTGACAATCCATTCGTTCTTCTTTCTCTTGTTGGGGAGATGGAGAGGAGTAAGCGGCCAGGACGCTGTTACCCATTTCTCCATCTTTAGCCTCGCTGATAGAGCGCTTAATGGAACAATTGCAATTTTCCAATTGAGCCGGATGAATGGGAGTGTCTGCGATAACGTCGATGGTTGCAAGAGTGGATTTGTTGTCTCTGGTAGCGGTTTCGTTTTCCGAAGTAGCTTGACTTTCTCTGGACATTCTATCCCTCCCAATTAAGTGCCTGTATCTGTTTCGAAAAGATCGTGCCAGCATGTCACCGATGTTTGTAAGACACATCAGCATTAAGGGAATGCCCATTATGGCGTAGACGATGGTGAGCACTTTTCCTATTTGCGTTTTGGGAGACATGTTGCCGCAGCCTGTTAAAATATAAAACAGTAAAACTGTTACGTCATTTACGAAAATTAAGTTTTTAAATTGCAAAAATTATATAAAAAAACTTAAGTTTTGAATATTTTAAACTTAGTTATAACAAATTAAAATTCACTTTTAATTACAGTTTTAAACAAAATTTAAATTGTTTATTTAATTTTTACGTTTAATAACATTTCCAAATTTATCCCCTTGTTAAGGGCTTCTCGATAAGAGAATCGTCCAGAACTAAATCGGATTGATTTGGTCAATTCGGATACTCGTAAGACAAAAAACAAAAATAAATTGAGAACGTTACAACCGGAAAATTTTAACAAACCCAAAACAATATTTAAGTTTTTATTCTATCACAAAAAAAAACTGTTTTTTTCTACAAATTCTGGATTTTTCTGTATCGATAACATTGGAAGAAAGTAAATATAAGTCGAAGGGCGAGAACAAAATAAGGATCGTTTCAATTCTCCACGTACTCTTGAAGGTATTCCAAATGTATTGTATCATAATGGTTGTTCGGAAATGTATCGCACTTTGTCAATTAATCTCTCTGCTCTACAAACTTTTTGGCGATCGAAAAGACTTGTTTCTATTAGAACTTAAAGCTAAAATCTTTTTTCTTTTTTAACTTTTCTTTTGTCTTAGTTATCTTGATTTATCTCGGATCTTCATTCTTCTCCAAGAACTCATTCAAAAGAAGAACTTTTGTCGAAGCTCTCAGCTATAAGAATTGCAGATTTTCCTGAAAAGCCTTTCTTTCGAAAACTTTTCACATTTATTTCGTGTACATCTCCAATAATACGGTGTATTTCGTCGTTTAATATGGGATGGCTTCATAAATATGGATTTTTAATTTCGTTTATTAAAAATATTCCCCCTCTCAATGTTAAGTCTAATAATTTCAACACATTCTTACATTATTATATATTGTTATATCAGTTAATTACGTTTAATATTAGACGGAAATTTTAATTAATTTTACCGTTACATCGCATGAGAATTATATAACTTAATAATCCCAAAAAGACAAATTAATTATTCCGATTTTAATAGCTTTTGCCATTAAATTCGGTTCGGTAATCAATTAAATCTTTTCTTATTCGTGTATTATTTTGACGTATAAACTACGTCACGTTAAAGAAGTCCGTAGTCTTCACGTGAGTTAGAGTCCACCTGATTGATGTCGGTAGAAGAGTGTATGCCAGACAAAGGAGAGCATTTCATTCATATTCATCTGATTTTTTACTTGTTTTTTTGGCCATTTTGATGGATCTATTTTTAGCGATTTTGAATTTCCATACATCAAATAAATCCAATTTACATTCGTGCTGAATAGATCACGTATGTCAAAGGCATGCGACATCGGTTATAACGTTTATAACTCTTAAAGAAAATATATTCCAATTGTTAATCGATATTTATTAAGAAAAAGTAAATAATTCGTGGTATTTTTGGCCACGTCACGTTAAGTTTAACGGGAATTCCGGGTGGATTTTTAATTAACGTCACGCTTATAACTAAAATAATGTATATGCATTTTTAAAGTAAGCTTTTATTGAGGGGAAAAAGGGGGAAGAAGGAAGGAAAATGTAGAAGAAAAGCTTAGTTTTAATGAATCTGGAGGAAGGTATCGCATCTTTCCATTAATGCATTTCATTACTGATTAATAATGACATTAAAAATGAATTTACTGATGTATGACAGTTATTACTGGGTAGAAGAACTAGTTCATCAGAAGATCTTAAAGAAAAAAATAGTTATACTTTTTAATATTAGCTTGGAAATTCGACTTAAGTATCCATTAATTTATCTTTCAATATTTTATGTCATTGCAATTTATTATTTAATGAGACACGAAAAGGTTCAATTTTGTCGAAACGTCTTACAACGTCATCCTAACAAAAACTATTTTTCAAATTTTCGACTTTCTCTCTCGACCTTTCTTCTTCTTTTTTTATATTCTAGATAATATCTTTCGGAATTTATTCGAACGTAAAAAGTCTTATATTAAAAATGAAATTTAAAAAAAAATCGTTGGATTTGATCAGATATAATTTCCGCCTCGATCATTCCTGCATGAATCACATTATGGACACATAAAAGGAACGAGTTGCTCTTACCAGAATTATTATTGCCGAATTTAATATAATAATAATAATAAATGTGGAAAAAACTCGAGTAAAATTTATCAAATAAACTTAAAATAATCGAAGGAAATTTGTTTAACAAACGAGAAAGTGAATAGTTTGGAAGATTGGAAAAGTTCGACCGGATCATTTTTTATATTCTTTTTCGAAATTTGTCATCTCTTGAAGAGATTTTCGTTGAAATTAATTCTTTCTACTTTAATAATTTCCTTTCAAATAAGTCGACGATAAAATTTAATGCGTAAATATCAAAATCATTTGTTAGTTTTAAAAATCTCCGCCTACTTTTTTACTTAACGACCAATCGTATAACTTGTTTAAAACTGGTAACGTCTTTCGGCAATTTTTCTCGTAAATTTCGCAGAGAACCGCCTAAGAGTTTCTTCTTAATTTCGAATCGTCTCGTTTACTAATATTATTTTTAAAATGTTTTTATCGATAATTATTTTCTTCAATTTTGTATAATTATTATTGTTTTGCAGCAAGGTCAGGGTGACAAATTTAAAGTATAAAAATACAGAAGAGAAAGAATTTTTCTAGTATCGGAGACTTTTAGATGTAAGATGGTGGCTTTGACCAACGTCGCCAATAATTTCGATTACAGTAAAATCAGAAGTGTCATTTATTGATCAAAAACTGTAATGAATAAATAACACTAAAATAATTGTAAATATTTTAATATAATTTTTATATTTAATTTATAAGCATTTTGAAGAATACAAACGTGAACGTCGAGTGCCGCTTACAAGATAGCGGCTCTCGACGTTCGACGTTCACGTTTTACAGATGAAAACTTCGGTCGCAACCTCTCTATTGTATGTTTTTCTTCGTTCTGAAGTAACAAACCTTTTATACCTTTAATGTTTCTGAAGGAAAAAGTGTAACCGCCAAAACAGAGCCCACTCGATTTATTTTACTCTATTAAATTTCGGTCAACGTCATTTTTTTTTCATCTTTTGGCATAGTAAAAATGATACGTTCGACACATTCTCTAGGCAAGAAGTACATTATTCGTCCATCCTTTTAATCCATTCATCTTCAAACATTTCATTTTTCGCGCGATAAACACAAAGAAAACATAATAAATTACACAAACGAGAAGGCCGAGGAAGGAAAAAGAAAAAAAAATGAAGTTTATATATCCGTCGATTATCGTTCTACTTGTTGTAATTATGGAAAAGTGAAGTATATCGATTTGTTCTCATTCTTATTCGAAAATTCTTTCGAGTTTTTCTTTCTAGTAGACCCTCGTTCCTCTTTCAAAACTCTAAGTAAATATCGAATTTTGTAAGTTATTTAATCATCTTTGTGAACGTAACTCGCTCGGCCCTCATCAATCATCAACACCAGCTTTACTTTCGACGATGACGTTTGGGCGATGAAGATGAGGAGAGATTGAAACCTATCGAGCAAACAATATAAATGTGACGAATAACGATCTGTTACATTCGAAGGAGGGGAGAGAATTTTTAATTTATCAATTTTTTTTTTCCTTCCTCCTCTTCCCCGAAGAAATTCTCACTACGGCTCCAGGCAATAATAACCCAACGGTTTCAAAAGTAACAACTTTCTAATAATTAAACAACTCCAATAATATTAAATATTAATACGGAAAAAAATCATTTTTATATCGATTTTAAATTAACTTAGACTAATTGGTTATCAAAATGAAATTTCTAAAAATAGCTTTTTGAGTTTATCAGAAATCGTTCTAATTGATTTCTTGTCAAATTTTAATTAATGCCGATATTAATCATTTTAGAAAACGTTTGCTCTTGATGAAAATTCAAGAAAAAAAGAAAAAAATTTGAAGAAAATTTACTTCTTTCGGCTCTCGTAACTCCAAAGATGCAGTTGGCCTTAACATATACAATAGATCCCCCCTATACAGTAGACACCCTATAACACTGTTGATAATTCCGTTTTATATGAATTCCATGTTGTACGAGTCAGTTATATTTTACAAATATGTGTGCTGGGCTGTGAACGGCTCACGTATTTGTAAAATCTAAGTAACTTGTACAACATGGAATTCATATAAAACGGAATTATCAACAGTGTTATAGGGGGTCGACTGTATAACACTGTAGATAATTCCGTGTTATACAGTATATAACTTTATTGTAAAAAATAACAGTGATAAGCCTTTAATGTCAAATTCCTAAATTCTAGATTGATTTAATTATAGAATAAATCTGCATTAATACACTTTTTTTTTTTCTTTTTCGAAACGAAATTAAATTTGGCACTTAGTGGTTTACAGAAATCCGGCGATAGTTTCTTTGTTGATTATATTAAATGAATTATTATGATTAAGATCGTTAATTATTTTATAATCAGTTTAAATTTACTGGTTAACGGAATACTGTTTAAGTTATAAAGTTTAAATTTGTTAGAAAATTAACTTAATAATAATAATAATAATCTTAAATTAATTGTCTTCGATATGCAATGAAGTTCGCCATTTTCTTTTACGCTTTGATATAAAATTGTTGCTACTATAAAATCAGAGATAATAAAAGCGTGTGGTAATATTTGACAGGATTAATCAATGATTTTTTACCAAAAAATAAAAATATCAGCTTAAGAAATTATCATATAGATAGTCTGTTATCGACATTACGATTCTTGATTGCTTCAAAGAAAACTTGATAAAAATACAATTTCTTTGATAATTTTTTAGCTTTTTTTTTATATACTTTTACAAGAATTTCCTCCACTGAATTATTCTATTGATTGGACATTCTTAGAAGTTAAAATGCTTCTAGTTCTTAAAGAAGTTTTTCCTTCAGCCCTCTTCTTCTTCAATTTCATAACTTCTCATACTCTTCCTCTACAGCATCTAA